GCTCGTCCAAGTATTATAAAATTGAAGTAAACAACAAATTGGATAGTCTAGTTGCAAGTCACGATGCACAGGTTGCTCAAACAAAAAAAGATCAAACCTCATTTAATCCAAACAGTTGGTCACACATTACAATTGTAGGTATTATTTTGTTTGCGGTTGGTACATGTATATGTGGATCCTGCTGTCTCTGTTCTTATTGTGGCTATAAACACTTTCGCCGATATCGTACACGTCGCGCCGCAAAAGACCATCAGACAATTGAACATTTGAACAAATCTCGATTATTATCTAATATCCCAGTTTTAAACCATCTAATGTCTACAGTTGAACAACGTACTCATCCACCGTCGTCACCACCAACCATAACATCAAATGTTCAACAACAACCGCTATCGTCAGCAGACATTGGTAAATTAGTTTACTATATACAACAGAAACAACAAAAACCGTTGGAATCTCTCAATGAATCTGTCCAAGCGACCGCTCCAATATTCCACAAAACCCAAAGTCTAACAATATTGGCTCAAAAGTATGGTTATTAATATGGCAATTAATAATTACAATCATTTTTTTAAGTTTTCCACTGTTGGTGTTTTTTTTTGACGAGCCAGGAGGCTCATCTTATACGCATGCGGGGAGTGTTATGACAGCTACACTATCATTCCCTTTTGTCATGAAAGAATGTTGACTCAAAATAGTTGAGTCAAGATTCTTTTGGTCTCGAGTGATACTATATATATATAGGATTGTTTAGTCAAGAAAAGAAAAAGAGTTTTTTGTTTCGGATCAAGGTTTTCGGTTTTTTATTGTTATTATCGGAATAAAAGGAGTGGCGGCTAGCACTTTCTGTATTATCGCATGCGAATTATTATTAAAGAGCAAACTTGTGCTATAGAACTCTTTGCATTATTTCTCTAGCAATTTTTTATCAACATTGCAATGCATTTCAATAAGATGTATTCAGATCTTAAAGTCATATAGAACTAAGATTCTCGATACGGTTCTATGAGTGAAAATTTTCATAAACTGTATTCAAGAGTGAAAGTCGATTTGATGACTTATTTACATGAAGCCAATATGCTTATATCATTCTACTCGCTATAATAGCACGAAGAAGTTACGCATCGATTTCGGACATATTGTTCCGTTATTGAGAAAATAAATTTGTTGAAACAAGTGGATATTTTGCAGTTCTCACTATCAAACTTCCGTTTTTCTTTTTCAAAACCAATATCATATTTGGAATCAACATCAAAAACTGAATTGATTGATGTCTGTTTCACGACTTTTGGATAACTTTCATTTTTTCCGAACTTTTCGTAAAGATTTTTGCGAAAAAAAGAAAGTTGTCCCCGTATTATTCAATTCACTTTTTGATGCTGATTCCAAATATGACATTGATCTTGCAAAAAAGTGGAAGTTCTTGGAACCAGCTTCAGGCCTCAATAGCTTCACTAGCACAAGCAACAGAAAAAGTTTTAAGATAATTTTTTTACAACTTTGTTAAATGAAAGTCAATAGTTTAGTCTGCTTAGCTACAAGTAACAATATGGTTTTAACTCAACAAGTCGAAATATTCTAGCAACATGAGCGAGAAGAAATTTACAAAACCTTTTATATGGCTTTCTAGTACGTTACAATGTGTGTCAAGTTTCTTCTTCCATCTAAATCATAAGTAATAGAAATTGTAAGGAAACGATTAATAGCATTGTAGATATCTGTAGGGTTTTTATACCACTATTGTGGTGGTAGCGGTATTGATTTGTAAGCCCGCTTGACCACCACCACTTTGATGATTTGAATACCAGCCACTATTACCATGTTCCGAATGTGTCCGTGAATATAAACCATTACCCGACGTTCTAATGGGTATAAGAGGATCATTAGTCTTCTCTGCACCAGCACGGTAATAAGTCGCTGCCTGCTGTTGTTGATTATTGGGTAATTGATTAATGTTTGGTCGAAATAAATTATCACCATTTAAATATTGTTCAGCTAAAGAACGAAGAATAAAACTATACTTTAAGTTTACCCTTGTTACAAAAAGGAGTACGTTCATTGCAGTTACTCCTCCTTGAATCGTACAACATCTACAATAAAACTGCACTTTCACTAGGCACTGTGTCATCAGACTGTCAATACTTTACCTGCATGATATTGTATCGGAAATATGACCTTGGACTTTGAGAAATGCTTCACGTTTCAATTTCCTTTTGAAAATATGCTTTGAACAACAGCGAGAGCCATCAGGAATAAAAAACCCTCGTTTAGCAAACATCATTTCGCGTTGATTTTGTGCCAAAATATGACCACTTTCTTGTTAAAATAAAAAAGTTAAATAAAGAAAAGAGACATCAAGATTGGTTTAAAGCAGAACAAAAAATTAAACTGAAATACAATGCTCTGTTGTGACTTAAACCTTGCTATCGGTTTACTGATTGTTTATTATACTGGTTCTTACTTATCATCACCTAACGGTAAGATATTAGGACAGCCAAAGATACAGAATTTTTTTCTGTTTTGCATTAAAAAGAAGTAATAAGGTGAAAGTCTGAATGTAGAGAAAAACGAAAGTTGATGAAAGTTGAGAAAAACGAGCAAACAAAACAAATAATGAATGGCGATGTCGGGATCGAACATGTTCAAGTACAATATCAATATGTACGCATGATGGACTTCATGTTAAATTCGTACTCGTAACGAGATGAAAAAACGCTTACGTGCATCTAGTATTGGCTGTATTGAACTCGTACGAGTTTAAAAAGATGTTACGAGGTGAAAAGTGTGTTATGTTCTAATATAGTATAGGAGAGGCTGGGGAGGCTGTATTGAACTCGTACGAGTTTAAAAACATGTTACGAGTTGAAAACTGTGTTATGTTGTAGTATAGCATAGGTCCTCCGTTTTTAATAAAACTTTGGAAACATGAGCTTCTGTTCACGAAACATGTATACGGTTAGCATGGACGAGCAGTAGTGGGTCCTGGGCTTCTATATCGTTGAATTTGATTCCACCAAAACTTCTAATCGTTTCAGCATTGGTCAGATACATCCAAATAATTAAAACAACTACGTTAGGTAAAGAAGTGAAATGAGTTGGTAGAAGATATGTATTGTGCATCGTAGGTCAAAGATTACTGCATATTCAACAAAATATATGTTTATGAACACGGTCAGTCAAGTGTGTCGAATTTATTCTCCTTCCAGTCGAATCACAATGGACAAAAAGAGCGAGAGAGAAGAGAGAGGGAGAGAGAAAGAAACAACTGGCATCTCCGGTTTCACCACAATTTAGTACATCTTCTCCATCACATTAGTAACTGTTACGCAAAAAACTGTCACTCTCATGTACAGTACAGTTACTGTTTTCCGTATATTCAATAAGATATAAAAAATGCACAATACGTAAGTGGAAAACATTATAGACGTGAAAGAGTCGTCTGAAGAGATCATTAAGCAAGGTCGAAATTTTGATAATACATACATTCTACAGATTTCGATAATACAGATTTCTCTTATCTAGTCGTTTATTATTCACAGTCAACCGTGTTGTCTCACTTCTTGACCTATAGAAAATGCGTCCATTTAATCTCTTTTTTCTTTTCAAAGAACATACAAAGATGCTGTATTCATCAAAATAATGAAGTTTCTTACTAGAGCCGGTGTTTCCACATTATTCCTCGTCCGTAATCTCAAGCTTCGTCTGCTGTCGCCTCATGTTAAAATATTACAAAGTAAAGACGTACATCCAATGAAATCCACTTTCATTCTTCTTGCCTGTCTCTTGCAAATACATATTGCGGATGAAGAAAACAAAACATAAATGCTAACGCACGTGAATTTTCGTTTCCTCTTCTCTTTATTTACTAAGCTTTAGATAAAGAATGAATTCGGCTTGCTTAATCCCTGAATTATTGGGATTAATCTAGATTAAGCAGAGAAAATCCGTGCATCCACGCAACAATTATTATTTAAACATTATCCGGCATTAAAATCATTTATCCATTCTGGCATAATAGCACATATGTCTCTGAACTCTATTGGTGCTAATGTTATGGATCAAAATATGAAACCCATTGTTCTGTCTATTAGTATGATCGCACGTTTCTGTTGGTATCATGAACCAATATCATTTTCACTGTGTTTCTCTTTCATTTGTTTGATATTAGTGTTCGGTTCAAATATTAATATTTTAAATTATTCATATGAATTTATGTGTCACATTTATGTAATATTATTGGAAATAGCGTGTGTGCTAACACAAATAGCCGTTTTACCAAAGGTACCAGATATTTTTCAAACTATTCTTCATGTTGAACGTGTAGAAAATATTCTCGTTTTTCTAACGAATATTGTGAATCTACAACTTTTTCATGTACACACAATCTCTATTCTGAAAGAAGAAAATTTAGTTTTAACGCTTTTCGTTTGCATCATAACTATGTCATTTACACATCCACTTTGGATCTATTTTTTTATTTGAAACTTGCATGCACCGATTGTTGTACGTAGCAAATTTTCAAATATTCGAACCCAGATAGACAGCTATCTTGATCATATGAATGACTTTTTTTGTGACGATATTTCTTCTTGCTGATGTATTTGTTACCGAGTGGAATTTTATATAAAAAAGTTTTGATTCTAAAATTCTTTTTTAACGATAAATGATGGGTGAACGAAGAAAAAGCTGTTCGAGGAGCTCTTTTGCTTATTTTGAGCAAGGAATCTGTTTGCGAGACTGCTCGTACATAAGTTATATTCAAAAAGAAGCCAGTCATCTTATATTTCTTACTTTTCAGCTAATGCTGTCTTATCTTTTTCTATTGTTAAGAAGACCGGCGTTTTGAGGGCACAAAACGTATTTTTCTTACATGGCATTTATTATTATCGAATCCATAGCGAATCGGGTCGATTCTACTTGCGTGCGATTTGAAACAAAACGGTATATATATTCTGATTGGGTTTTTTACGTAGATTCCGAATCCGGCGTCTGTTTTTGGGTGTCTAGTCTAGTTTTCGAGAAATAGATGAAAAACTAACGTGGAAACTAACGCCTTTTATTGCTTTCTCTCTTTCTTTTCGTGCTGAATATAGTCTATATGTTTTTCTTTCGATTTTCTCTTTTCGTATTTTATCGTGGTGAACGAACAAAAGAAGAAAAAGAATATCTATGTATAGCTTGTATCGAGCATTGCTGTTATTCAGTATACTTGTTCAAAATTCAACAGATATAAAATATCAATTTTATTGAATTCGAAAGAAAAAAAGAAAGATTGATAAAAAGAAACACTACAATTACCTGTATAGAAATTATTTGTATGCTCTCGCTGGATACAAAAAGTAAATTGTTGACTTCTTTTCGTAGCAGGCAACGTCGTTACATCATTGCGCCTGTCAGTGTACAATTATAAACTGCAATTATTATTGATGCTTTTTATTCAGTATATGAGTATCGTTCGGATCCTCGAACTTTCCGCAAATTTAGGAAAGTTATTCGAAGAATGATGGAGAGCATTCTTGTTTTAAGTAGACAATGCGTTGTGCACCATGACGTTTTCGTCGACTTCCTGACAGTTTCCAGTGGCGGATTTCCAACCTGCTCCGATTCAAGGTTGAAACCTGCTCCAAGGACCTTGAAAGCGCATGTTTTTAATAGCTATTCACAGCCATTTCATCTGCTGATTGTTTCCACCAAAGCAAACTTTTACTTCACTACTTTACGTAACAGTCATCATGTCGTATGGTTAGATCGGCCTTTCTACAGATATTGTTTCGCCGATGTCTTACTGAAGAATTCGTTTCAATTCTCAGAGACGAAAGCAGAAGTCCTTTCTAATCAACCTTGAAAAGTACTTAGACTACAACGATCATTTCCTGTGCAAAACTTTGTTGATGAGTCCTACTGTCTGTGTTTGTTTTAGCCAAATTTCCTGTAAACCAGCTTCACAGCATCACTGAGTGATTTGCAAATAGAAGCTTTATTTTAACAATGGCCTAAGACGGAAAGATTTCATGTAAAATGTTTCTTTATTTCCAAACATTGTATATTGTGTTTTCCAAGCATGCGCAAAAACAGTACGGTTTGGCTAACTAAAGCTACTTCTGAAGTGAAGTTCTGTAACGATTGTTTGGTATTTTGTGTCTCCTATAGTTTCCGAACGGCGAGATGCTCAGAGCTCTTGAATGTCTCAGATTAAAGAGAAAATTGTGCTAAAGCATTTGAGATGTTCTGGCAGTGTACGGAATCTCTGGTGAAAACACAAACACCTATTTTTTAAAGTTCATCCGAAAATAAAGGTGTTTGTATTGTTTATGATCTGTGTATATCAGAAACAGTCTTATGAATTCGTCTGAAACTCATATTTCGTCAGGCTGAGTGACATATATATCTGTTACACAGTATTCTGACTCGTAGAAAGAAACAAAATCAATATTGATTTAATGCTAAGAAAATCTCTCAAATAAATTGTATTTATTCCAGTTTTGAAATTGATTCTACTCTTCCTCTTTTGACAGTCACATTCCTCTCTCTGACGCAGACTCAAACAATACCAAGGAAATACTTCTGGTTTTGCTCCCTCTATCACACTCTAGTTTCTGAGAAATACTCTCATTGAGAGAAGAATGTATTCATAAAATGCAAGCAGGATGATGGTACTGAATTGAAGGAGTCCTGGATGAATACTTCAGAAAACAGTTTTAATTGTTGACAATAGCGGATATACTTACTTTGAAAAGATCCCTTCAGTTCAAGAAAACACTAACAAGAGTAAAAATCAAAAAAAAAAGCAACGTTGTATACAACATTTTGTAGTTACACTTTGTTAAAGGCTAAGACATTCTTATTATCGAAATTCAAAAAGAATGCGTCCCAGCAAAATGCTTATATCTTTTAAACGAAAAGAGCCATCTACCAGCGGTTTTCAGATTCTGAGACTAGATTAATTTTTATTTTGCAATGTATTCAAGGCAAGGAAAAGTACCGAAAAAAACGTCTAGTAATCAGGAAAGGAACCACTTTTCTTAAATCAGTAAAAGAAATTTACATACGAAAACGACGAATGTCTGCTAATATCAATGAAAACATGTCTTTGTGCACTGAGCGATACCATAATTCGTTTAAATGACTATCGAGTAATGTTAAACCGCGCATGGCTCTCAAAATTTTTGTTTTCGACAAGCATTCGATTAATTGTGTATGACAGCCAGTGTGCGGGTCAACAAAATTTTGACTGTGGTTGACCTACAATTTAATTTAGATGCTCATAAAGTTTTGAAACTTGCATAGGTTCATTTACTTACTGTTTGATTATCATACCCATACTGCGTTTTTAAGTTTTTATATGCACCCCATTCATCGGACCATACGGTTGTTCCAGGTGCAACATGCTTGAGTATAATCGGAACTAATGTTGCACGATCACGACGTTGTACATGGAAAAACCGAACTTCATATCCATTTTCTGTTGGTTGAGCAATTCCAAATATCTATGGACCTGAAATATTGAAGCTGATTAGTGCAGATGTAACTGGACCATAGTTATAATTTACCGTCCATTCGTTTGCCATAGTTTCGGTTGTTTGTGGGCTGATTGTCATCACTGCTACTACTACTATCGCTGTTACTACTGGATTCGTATGGTACTAATCCGCTGATGTTGTTGTTGTTGTCGTTCTTCTTATTAACATTACCGAGTAGTAACCGTCCACGATTATAAACTTACTTACGTTTACCCCGAAACAGTGATTCATCAGTCTGCACCACTTCACCAATACCACCCATCTGTTCAGCCACGTTCATTTTTTCTGCGCAAACCTTAAAGAACGAACAATCGTTATAATCCGATATAGCATAGACCCGACAATATGGACTTACTTCTCTTAAAAAATTGCACCAATCAACGGTAGTTGCTGGAGTGAATCACTTACCATCCTTTAAAGTCTTTTGAGGTTTACCGTCTCTCATTTCCGATCCACCTTTCGGACATTGATGATCTTCACTTTCTAATACAAGTTTTTGTTCACGCACAAACATAGGAAGCTTCTTGTTATCATTAATAATAGAATAGAATTCACGAAAACTAGTTGGCATTTGAACAGTAGTAGTCATTTTGAAGTAGTGCTTTTTAACCAGGGTGAGTTACGCATATATATAAACTTCCAAAAATACAACTGCAACTTATCTTTGTTCAAGAATCCGCGTTTGATCATTTGGACTTATCGAAATAAGACCAGCTGCTTCTTTTGATTTAGTCGTAACCCTTTTTCATAAACATAGCAAAACAGGTCACTTTTCCTGGGGCTGGTTTACAAGAAAACGGAATGCATCAATCGATGGGGAATTTAACGAGGATCCTAGATATGCTACCCCTTTTCCTGGACAACTCTTAGTTTTTGAGA